TCTTGAGCTCCAGTTTTTAAGATAGCTGACATGAGAGAGAGAGAGAAGTAAATCAATGATTTAATCCAGGAAAATTTGATGACGATATTTTTTGGTTATTTTAACAATCCAGAAACAACAAACAGGTTCAACAAGTTGTAATGGGACAGACCTCACCCAAACCTACACCAATATCAAATGGTCCAGGAAGAAAATACAATTATATCATAGTAAAAATGCCTACCGGGTAATCAAACTAACAACTCACCAATACAAAGCAACCATACCAACAACTTTACTATGTCCAGGTATAGCTCCTAAATTTAAAGTTCGATGGGATTTTCCTTTGCCATCACATTGAATAATGACCTGGCTTGTCTTACCGTACAGACTACCAAGCTGCCTAATAGCCAACTTTACCTTTTCATCAAACTAATACTTTTAAAGTGAATATCATTTTCACTAATAATTTCAACTTATTCTTTGTAGTACTTGGCTAAGTAACCAATAAAGAACAAGTTGACACAGAGGCAGATTACTCCGCCAAATTTACATATTGGTTGATTTTGAAAGCAAGTTAATCTAGCTAAAAGCTAAGTTAAGATTGGACTGTGCTGGATCTAACAGATGAGACACATGGCTTGTATTACTTACAGATCCCCTCAAAAAGTAGATTGGAACTGCAAGACCAAATCTTTGCCCTGTAATACTGACAGCTTGTAATAGAAGGTCTAACTCTTTACTGAAGTCCCTCTCACTGCATTTGTCATCATCAAATACACCACCTCTGTTTCCATTCTGTTTTCTCCATCTGAAAATCACAAGTCTTTGGAAATCACAAGTCTTTGGAAGTTGCAATGCCAATTTTTTAATTGTTATTATCCAGTATATTTTACCAGTGTGTCATGCCTGTAAATGCATGTTTACGATTGGATGAGAGGTATATGTAGTTTCAGTTTATGTAAGCCAGTTTGAAATAACATTTAAAACTTAGCGAATAACTCTGAAATCAAAAATGCTAAAATTAATCCCAGAGAATATTTCTCCGTACAGTTCCTGTCAATGTACTCTTCTTACTCTCAGTATCTGTGCTCAATTTACTTACTTTTTTTTATACAAACATCACAACATAGATCACTCCCTGTCAATGAACTCTTCTTAAGTCACCCTGACACTTGCACGATTCTGTGGCAGGCATTGGCATGACTTGAGTCGTGCCAGTGCACAAACTAGTTGTAAACTGTCGTGAAGTGTACGTAAACCCGTCGTAACTGCGTGCCATGTCAGGACGAAAATTTTGAAATGTTCAAATTTTGGTCATGACAAAATTTCACAACTGGGTTGTGAACTATGTGCAAACTGTTCGTGACCTCGTCGTGAACTCACCGGGACGATGTGTTCCAGTGTGTGGCAGTGCACGCCATGCTATGACTGTCACGAACTGCCACGAATAATTCACGAACAGCTCACGTCCGAATTGCGCAAACTTGTTGTGCCAATGCAGGAAGTCTGTGAGTTATGCACAAACGCATTCATGAACTATTCGTGAACTTGTCGTAAACTCGTCGTCAACTAGTCGTGAACAGTGCAGGGGCCTCCAAGTTGATGCCCCAAAATGGCGAGACTTGCCACAACAAAATCATGGCCAAAAGTCGTGCAAGTGTCAGAGTGGCTTTACTCTCTGTATCTGTGCTCAGTTTACTTACTTTTTTCTACAAACATCGCAACATAGATCACTTCCTGTCAATGAACTCTTCTTACTCTCAAAATGCAATAATAAAGCCCTGATGGGGAGTAACAAAAAAATGTGCTTTTAGTTCACTTTATCTCATTGGACTCAAATAACACTGTAAGTCGATTATAATAGAATTTTCTACAGTGTTCTCTCTGACAGGACAGATTTTGACAGGATCTTGTGTTGAAATAAAATCACACAAGCTATTTCACGACAGGACATACATGTAGTTTCCAATTGTTTTATAGTAAACAAAACTTGGTCAAGGGCTATAATCATGATTTTATAGTAGATGCAATTAAACTTGTTTTTAACTAGTTTTATTGAATCTGGCAGGGGGTTATTTCTTTAATATAGTTGAATTAACTTTTAATATAGTTTCGCAATGTTTGGATTAAAATGAAACTCTTTTTAATTTAATTGAGTTTAATGCAACAAAGTAGAAATAACATCATACATGTGACTTAGCATAGAAATATTTGAGAAGCTTAGGATTAGTAAAGGGGTAGGGTATGGTACAATTATATTAATATAAAGTGAACCATACCTGCCCCCTTATTAACCTAAGCTCCGCAAACTTGACCAACATTTTATTAAAAAAATTATGAAAAAATAGAGAGGGTCGTCACTTTTAGGTTTGTGTAAAGTTAAATCAGACAAATACACACACACATACAGACAGACACACTAACTGCAAAGACTCCCATTGTGTGCTTTGCACACAGGAGTAAAAAATATTGATCAAGTGAGCTCCATATCTACAAAGAAATCCTCAATAATAAAAAAAAACATACCTTCTTCTACATTCAATGATATTGAGATACTGTTTCATCTTTGTCATCATTCGGGCCTTATGTTCACGAAAATTGCTGTTGGTGATGTCATTTAAAAAAAATCTGAATAAATGAAAAAAAAATGTTAGTTCAGTGTTCTGACTTGAAATTTGCATTTCCTAATATGGTAGGATGAAAATGCCCAGTGCAATACACAAAATTACGGCACGAGGTATCCTCATAATAACCTCATATTACTACATGTATTTAATGACTAGCAGCCTGTCGGCTGAGATAGCTTCGCTGTTAGCAATGCACATTTCAATTAAAGAACTGAAGATATCATCAGAAAATGAACAATATGTATTAAAGCAATCGGACTTGCTGTTTTCAACAAAAATTTGAAAATATAACTTTTTATCAAAAATATTCATTCATTGAAGAACAAAATCATCATGAAATGAACAAATCTGAGAGAGGTCTACCTGTAGTACCTAGACATGTAATATCAAAGCAATTGGACCTGCGTTTTTTAACAAGAAGTTGAAAATATCACTTTTTACCAAAAATGACAAAAATATTCATCAAAATTAGAGAATTAAAGATATCATCACAAAATGAACAAATCTGAGAGAGGTACACATGTAGTACTTACATATGTAATATCAAAGCAATCGGACTAGCAGTTTTTAACAAGTTGAAAATATCACTTTTTACAAAAAATGACAAGAATATTCATCAAAATTAGAGAATTAAGGATATCATCACAAAATGAACAAATCTGAGAGATCCACATGTAGTACCTAGATATGTAATATTAAAACAATTGGACTTTTGGTTTTTAAAAAGAAGTCAAAAATATCACTTTTTACCAAAAATGACAAAAATATTCATCTAAATTAGAGAATTAAAGATATCATCACGAAGTGAACAAATCTGAGAGAGGTCCACCCAAGGTACCTACATAACAAGTATCAAAGCATTTGGGCTAGCGGTTTTCAAGAAGAAGCATTTTTGACCAAAAATGACAAAAATATTCGCTATAAATAAGACATGAACATATCCACCTGAAATGAACAAATCTGAGAGAGAACCATCCAAGGTACCATCCTAGAAAGTTTCACAGCTATACAGTTTGTGGTTTTTGAGGAGAAGTCAAAAATGTAAAGTTGACTATGGCGACGACGACGAACAATCAGTAATACCATAAGCTCTGCTCGACTTCGTCGACAGTGGAGCTAAAAACACCAGTTCTTGCCAACTGTTCATAAAGCATATGCATACGTTCACTAAACATATACACATGTCTAATAAAATGAATTCAACTTACCTGTTTGTCTGAAAATCAGCTGGTGCAAATATGGCATAGCATTCGCTTGGTAAACCATCTCTACCTGCACGTCCTATTTCCTGGTAATAAGATTCTATATCTCTTGGAGCTGAAAAATATCAACATTTCTGAACGTTTATTAAAGAAGGACAAAAAATTGACCAAAACATTTATTAATTTAGTAGATATACAGCAATTCTGAGCGAAATCTGTCCATTTATGACTGAAATTTGGATCAAGAATGGCAGAAAGACTTTCATCAGGATAAAAATGGTCATCATTCCACCATCCTGAATCAAATCCTAATTTTAAACCAAATGGACGTGCACAGTTCCCATGATGTATGAGAAGTTTGAATGTGATTAGCCAAGGCTATAAAAGATTCATTTACCTCCGTAATGTATGATCTTCCTGACATCAGGCTTATCGATACCCATCCCAAATGCTACCGTGGCAACAATACACTAAAATAAAACATTCAGCAGTATTAATTCAGATACCTCCAGATACATGACAATTTATAGGTGGGGTTCGCAATCAGAAAAACACCATTGACGAAGTTATGGAGTGACACTGGTGATGGTTGGGTGACTTAATACAGATGAATAAGAGCAGACATTCACATAATGCACTCAGATGGGAACCACCTGCGAAAACAGGAAGATGCAGACCACAGGGTACTAGATAAGAAAGGAAATGGCAGCAATGGACAAGATCTACTGGCTTACTCAGGATCATGAAGGCTGGAGAAGTAACTTTTGTGACATCTTCTCCAGCTTAATTAAGATTAGGAAAGAAAATTTAGAGTAATCATGTACATGTATTTGTAAAATGCACACCATTATCAAAAGCTGCACATTATGAATATCAGAGTTGAGTTTATGACAAGCATGTCCTGAGTACCTTTACAGTGTGATTTAAACATGACAGATAAAAATAGCATAAAATATTAGTTTTCATTTATATGTGTTACCAGTATGATATCGTTCTCGGAAACAAAATTATTATAAATGTCATGAAGAGTGATTTTTATTTGCTTTTAGTTTTTTATCAATGTTCAATTGTTTTGTAGAAATATGCATTTGAACTATGGCAGACTCAGTCTACTTGAAGAAAATAATCTGGGATTCTACTCACCTGTATTTCATCTCTTACAAATTTGTGATGCGCATTATTACGTTGCTGTAAACTGAGACCAGCATGGTAGATTTCTGCTTTCACACCCATACCTGAAAACAAGTGTAATAATCAATAACAAAGATAAACTGATAAAACAAAGATAAACTGATAAAACAAAGATAAACTGGCTCCCACTAAACTGCTGTTCTACATTGATGAAAAGGCAGTAAATGATGGTACATGTATACATGTATGTTTATTTCATTAAATGGTTTAATAGAGGCCATGTTCTCAGACTCAGTGAAGAATACCTAGCACCTTCAAACTTTACACACATTTTTAAGAAATCAGTTGAAGATTTGCATCTGCTCTAAGTGCCGTCTAGTTTTTATCATTTTTATCCAACAGCAAACCAAATTGACCTGTATGAATTCAAGAATTAATGAAATCTACTTGCTTTTTAGGACAGCTCCTACATTGCTTGTTGCCTTCTTAGTTGGACAGTAAATTATAGTTGGACCATCAAACTCATAATGAAACCTGTAGGTGTACAACATCATTTTGAAGTTGTTACAAAAGTGAATTGTGTCAGAATCATGGGTGATGGAATTGTTCATAAGGTCAGTCAATTGTGAGTGTTCCAATATGCACTGAATCTGAGTTGCAGGATTCCACAGAAATTATAAATTTTTTAACTTTCAACTGCAATAATAATAATTTCTCCAGTATTTAAAAATTGTTGACTGTCACAGGCTTTGAAGAAATTGAATGATTTATATTTTAATTTCTATTTTTAGAAATACCTCTCAGAAATCAGTCTCCTAATTTGAATTTAATATTGACTTACTGCTTTGTCTCCTTGAGAAAGGGCATCAAATCATGTTGTATATTACCACTTTTCATTCTTACTTCTAGGTATAGATTTGGCCTAGGAACAGAATAAGTTTAGTCATGAGTTTGACTATTACTGTCTTGCAACTGTATCATCAAGTGCAGTGAAAATGATAAATGTACTTCTGAGAAAGAACTGTACATATATTTTTTGATTAACAAAATGGACTGTAAACAAAACATGCATAATTATATATATTTTGTCTTTTGCTACTAGTTTGGTCAAATTGCCTCCTGTGTATAAATGTCAAAATAACGGAAGATGATTATGTAATAGTGTTTTACACTCGTATCCATACTGATCTTTTGATAAAAAACAAGAATATTTTTATTGATTTCCCAGCTTCAAATATTTGTCTGCTCAATTAAACTGTGAAAAATGGTCACTTTTTTTATTAAGAGGCGGTAGTCGTCGTGCCGCGTCATGTTCGATATGGGACTCATAGCGATGTATACAACGCGTGTAAAATACATTGTTTATTTACATGAAATTTTAAACACGTTGCGTGACGACTGCCGCGCTTTAACTAATTAATTAATCACTCTCCATACAAAGACCATGCGTCTATATAGGATAATTTCTTGGTTGGTTACTTTACACAGGTTTTACTAACCATTTTCTATATAAACAAGCCATGCATGGCAGTCCCCGTTAGTTATAGTTATCAAACTTAAAATATATAATTTTCTTTATAGTAATACAGTTCAAAACATGTCAGAAGTATGGATCCAGAAACTGATGTTTAATTATGGTGATTTTTTAACACTGAAATAATCTTGAATCCGCTCATTAAACAAATTGATGAGCATATGTATGCACAGACACACAGACACACAGACATCAAACCATAAGTCCCCGTTTTCGAACTACGTCCAAACGGGAACTTATAATAATGATACAGATGAACAAACCTGTCAAAACTTGTGCATGTAACCAGTGGATTTTTCAGTGCTAGAGATCTTATGATATCACTTTGTACTTCTGGTGTGGCAGTAGCTGTTAATGCCATAAAGGGTACCTATAATATCAGTAAAGACATCATTACAGAACAGAACCCTTATAGACCATTCATGTTTGTTCTTATTCAAAGAATGAACACATACATTGTTTTTTGCAGTCTTTCGGTGGTCATGTGTCCAGTTTTTGTGTAGGGCTTCGGCATAGAATAATTATATTTACATTTGAATTTACAATTTAAAACTTCTTCAGTTGAGTGAGAGAATAATATACAAAGCAAAATTTGTCAAAAAAACATGTCAACAAGCAAGCTGCTTTCTGATTGGTCTGACTGTTAGATGTTAGGGTTGGGTAGCCAATCAGACACAATCTTCTAAGTAGCTTCGAATTGACTCAACTTCTTAAGGCAAGCAATGTCAATAATGACAGATAAATTTAAACAATTTTCAATGAAAAATCATGACATATTTTTACTTAATTTTGCTAACTTACTGATGGTAAAATATTTCTGAGACTTCCCAATGTTCTATATGCAGATCTGAAATCATGTCCCCACTGTGACACACAGTGAGCTTCATCTATTGCGACTAATGTTATTCCTTAAATGAAGAGAAAACAAATAGTTAAACTTATGTAGAGAGTTGGTTAAGTTCAGCAAATACATGTGCTCGACACCAGGATAGCACAATAAACTGTCAGAGTGCCAGCAGATGGTTGCATACATGTACCAGTATACTGTGGAATACTTTATTTTCGCTGGAATTAATTTTCGCTGAAAAGGCTTTTCAGGCGTTTTGTATGGAATTTATTTTCACTGATTTCTGATGAGTTTAATGTGAAATATAGGAAAAAAAGTATATTCGCTGGATTTTATTTTCACGGAATCATCCCTTCAGCGAAAATAGCGAAAATAAATTCCAAGCGAAAATAAAGTATTCTACAGTATGCAGTTCAATACACAGAATATGGTTGTTTCAAATCACTAAGCATTAGGTTGTGTGATTATATCAGTGAAGTTGTTCAATTCAGACAAACTAATTTAGTAAACAAACTAAAATAATGGTCTGGAATGTAGTTTTAAGTTTTGAGGTATTAAAATAATTTCTCAAGAACATCAACCATTCAGCAGAAACTTCTACAATTTATTACACACATAATGCAAAGTACATATACTCATTCACAATTTGATTGAGTATTTGATGCAAAATTCAATATGTGTATTTGAAAACTGAATTTTAGTTTTCTAGACACAAATTTCCCATTTTGCTCTGTTTTTGAATTAACATGTGCATATTTATGACCATATCACTGTGCAGTGCATGTAAACAATTTTGTGTTTTTTGGTGGAAACCACATGTTATTCACAGGCCGAAGGTTCAGTGGTGAATGACTTGTTTGTTCATGGTATATATATTTATTCAGTACCATTGGCCATAGGCCATAATGTACACACTTAAATGTAACACAAATAAATAAATAAATAGATCATTTGACAAGAATAATCACTGCTACTGCTTGTCTGAATATTACAAATTTATACTTCACATATGAATACCAAATTAAATTTATATTTCAGTTAAATTTCCCTCTAACAAACTATGACGTTTTTGTAAAGAGTAGAATACGTATTTTGCAAGATTTTGTATTGTATGTGTATTTTCAGATTGCAGTAGCAAAATAAATTTCCATTCAAGCGCTGGGCAATAGTAAAACTTGTGTATAAAACGAGTTCTAATTTCTCCAAATTTGGGGCATTGTAATAGAAAGTGGAACTCGTTTTCAATGAGATTACAACCAAGAGGACACAATCTTTGGTCAAGTGGTATTCCCAATGCCCTACCCTTTTCAATCATGAGCTCATGAGCAGATATTCTAAAACAAGCGAGAGATTTTCTAAAAACACTTATAGTAATAGAATCCAGATATTTTTCCCCGGCTAATAATTTTTTAAATTTAGAATAAGTGCATAATTTTGAACTATTACCAATCTGATCATGCCATTGTTGCTGGGAAATATCTAGACACCGTTGGTTAA